TGAGAGCCTGTGATGATCAAGCAATCCGTCAATAAAACTCAGCAGGTTCTGCGACAAGATACTCACTAACAGTAAGCTATGAAATGATTTCAAAGCCTGTGAATATATTGACTTTTTGTTGGCTGATAAAGTTGTTTTATTTTTAATGACTACTATTATTGAGTTTATGTGCATTTAATGCAATGAATCTTAATCATATTTAGACCTCCTTCCCTATCTGAACACCCCATAACCACCTAGCTCCGGATTTTATGGATTCTGTTATATATGTTAAGGCATATTTGGTTAAGTTTTTATACCCAGATGTCTCTTGGTTCATATTTTCACTGTAGTAGAAGATCAACTCTCCCTCACCCAGCAGTAATCAGTCACTTTAATACCAAAACAGGTAAATATACAGCCATAAAAGAATATATAAGCCCATATCCATAATGAACATAGATGTAAAAATTCTCAAAAAAAAATACTAGTAAACCACATATAGACACACATCAAAAAGATCAAATACCATGACTGCTAAATATATACTGTTACAAACCATGGTAGTTACTGGTCTTGTCAGTGATTGGATACATAAGTGATCTCTGAAATCAGTTTGGTGCTTGAATATGCAGAAGAATTTGACTACTGAAATATAAGTTGATTCTAAAAAAAGTTCTCTGATTTCTCTTATGGCACATCATGGCTTGAGCCTCCCTTTCTTGCTTCTGAGCTATGGCTTATGAGTACCAATTTATTCTCCATTTGACCACAAAGCCCAAATCTTACCTCTTGAAATAATAATTCATTGCAAAGTACAAAAGTCAAGGTTGCTATGGTTTTATAGCTGCTAAGCTGCTTATTTATCTCTGTTGATCCTAAGGGATGTATCTCTGAAGGGGCTATGGATTCAAGTGTGAATTGAAATCACCAGGGATCATTAGCTCATTCTCAAATGAATACTAAGCAGTTCACTTCATACAAACACAATTAATTTTCAAGGTCTCTCAATCTTAAGCTATTTTTCAATGTAACTACTAATGCACTTTCATTTGATAATTATGGAAAGTATATGACAACAAATTGTCTAAGATAAATATTCATCCTAAGTTTTGGTTATATTCCAGGTTAGAGGCTATTACAATAAAAATAAAAATGGACCATTTTGGCATCTTCCATTTAATATTTCTTTATTTTACTGTTATGTAATGATTGATATACAGAAATATTTATATCCCTTCTTCATATATAAATATTTATATCCCCTTCCCCTGTGTCACACTCCCATAACCCACCCCCAACATACACACATACACTGGAGTTCATACATTCTGTCATTTGTCTTAAGGCCTATCATGGAAACTTAATGTCCCCAAATGTCCCTCAGTGCAAGTTCATCCACTGGGGTCTAGGCAGCCTATCTAGAGTCACTCCCTTGAAGAAGATCAGCTCTTCCTCACTGAGGCCTGCTGTTCATTTCCACAGTTCTTCACTGGGTTTTTGTCTGCCTAAGTTTGCATGAATCTTGTGCATGCTGACACCATTGCTGTAGGTTTGTATGAGAAGGGTCCCAGGCACCTGTGAGACCATTTCCGTATGTTCATGCACCTCTTCTTTGAATCTTGCAAACTTTCCACCCCCTCTTCCACAATGGTCCCTGAGACCTGGGGTGGTGGGCTTCAATATAGGAATCTTGTCCAAGGACCCACACTCTGCTGACTCTTATTCTCTGGGGTTTGGCCATTTGTGACCTTTTGCATTCCTGGTCCTCTGTTGCATGAGGGAGCTTCACTGATGAGAATTGAAAGACACAGTACTGTTCTCTTCATTCCTTATTCCACGTTCCGTGAGTGTGATTCTTAGGTGTAAAATTTGCATCATAGATGGGCCACTTAGGCTTTGGCAAGTCACAGAGGATCTCGGAGTGTGACTAGTTGTGTAACTGTAATAATCTCTGTCTGTTGAAAAAGAAGCTGCTTTGATGGGTGGTGGATACTTGCCTGAAATTTAAGAGTCTATATTTTACACATAGTAAAAAATCACATTTGTCTGGGCATATGGGAGCCTTGGGTTTTCTCTAAGATCTATGACCTCTCCAGCTATGTGTATTGGGCTAGGTTTACAGTGCCACCCTTGAGTTTCCTCCCATTGAGTAGACGTGAAGTCCAATTAGGAAGCTGTTGATTACCCCAAGATAAATGTGCCGTTACTGCACCAATGTTGTTTGCTGTGCTGGCCATTGATGTATTTTTGGACCTTGAAGCTAGTGTTGGACCAAGATTGATGTCCTTTCTTACCAGCTTAGGTAGTGCTCTCCAAAATTATGAGAGCTGGCCTTCAGGGGAAGTAGCTGAAGACAGAACATACTTTGGGCACAGGATTTGGAGCAATGGATCTGGTTACTCATTTTTGTAATTTGATTTTGTATCCTGGCACTTTAATGAAAGTATCAGACATTTCTACGTCTTTTCTGTTGGAATTTGGGGGTCTCATGTATAACACATCTTCTGCAAATACTGATAATTTGACCTTTTCTTTTCCAATTACTATTCCTTTCATTTCCTTCTCCTATCTTATGCTATAGCAAGAACTGCAAGTATTATACTGAAAAGGAATGGAGATAGAGGACAGTCTTCTCTGGCTCCTAATTTTAATAGGAGTGCTTCCAGTTTTTCTCCATTTAGAATATTTGCTGTAGAACTGTTTTTCATAGCTTTAATTATGTTGAGGAAAGTTCCCTCCAGTCCAGTTCCCTCTCGGACTTTTAGTATGAATGCACGTTGGATTTTGTCAGAGACCTTGTATTCGTATTTTGAGATGACTATGTGATTTTTGTCTTTAAGTCCATTTATATGATTTATTACTTTTGTCAAATTATGCATATTGAGCCATCCTTGAATCTCTGGAATAAAGATAACTTGATCATGGTGGATGATCTTTTTGATGTGTGTCTGTATGCTGTCTTTGAGTATTTTGCTCAGAATCTTAGAATCTATGCTCATTAAGGTTATGGACTTATAGTTTTCTTTTATTGTTGTGTCTTTATCTGGGTTTGGTGTTAGAGTGATACTGGCTTAATACAAGGATTTTGGTGATTCTCCC